CCGAACATAAATGACTTTGTTAAGTGCTCAAGAGCGAAAAGCTAGAGGGATGTAGTTACAAAGCTCAAAACTAAATATGGACTATTTTTTTAAGACGGAGTGAGTGGTATTTTAACTTGATTATGTTGAAGATTTTTGATCCCCTTTACACACAAATTGCTAGAAGTTTACTCACTCAACAACACACACAGGATTAAAAGTAAACAACCAAGCAAAACACAACAAGAAGCACAAACACAACTTACGTGGTTCGATCTCTCATAGATCTACGTCCACGGGAAAGGTAACACTTTCTACTAGTATAAGAATAGAAGAGTTTACAAAGGTAGAGCCTCTCTCAACACACTATGTCTCTCTCCCTCAATTCTACCCTTATACTCTCCCGCAAAGTGTTTCCATTACTCACCACATGTGCTCCGGGGAAGAAAGATACACATCACTACACAAAGAAGTAGGAACTAGGAGAGGATCTCCACTCAACTCAATCCTAATTCTATCCCCACTACTAGAAAAAGGGTCTATTACTACATATGATTCCAATCGATTAAGGACACTTATTTGGAATTGTCATTATAAATTATACTACTAATGACACTCAATTTTATGGCATTTTCTTCAAATAAAAATCCCAAAAACAAAAGCTGTTTTGGGGCAATTACCCCATTAATGTCAGGCCGATCTTTTCGGCAAAAAAAAATGAAAAATATAGAAAACCTCTCTGTTATTTCGGAGACTTATCAAACTAATTTTTTAGTACCATAAAACAATATTTATTTATTTAATCTTGAATTTTGTTTCGCCCTTTCTCTTCTCGTAAATGGAACACAATTTTTTCTAGTACTTGGGTTCAATTTGGGTGAGCAAAAAACGATGGATCTTTGGTTTGGTTTAGCCATAATTTTTTAATCCCTCACGTAGGCTAGGGTACCTCATCCATAGAGGCAGAGGGATCCTCGGCGGAGATTGGGCATGTTACGACGGATAAAAATCTCGGAGGAGAAACTGCCATGGAGGCTAAGCTGTGCACAATAATTTGAAAGTAAAGATTGACGCCGACGTCCACTTTGGTGTTGTTTGCCACTCAATTTTTGATATAAATACTTTCTCTCTGTGAATTGGTAAATCTAGGGTTTAAAAATTCATTTTCATATTCATTTGGTGATGTAGGATCTTAAATTTCTTTGACCTTCTTGGTAGATCTGGGATTTTTTTATTCATTAACTTTTTATTTTATCCCTGAAAAATTAGGCGGCATATTGGAAATTGGTGGTGGCTGATTCGAATAGGTATGTTTAAGAAAATGCGTTGGATGTTCTATTGTTGTTGATGCTTGGAGGTAATGTTAATGATACTTTATGTTGATTATGCATTAGCTCTTGAAAAGTAGTCAAGTACGCCTCTTAAACTTTTCTTTATCAAAAGTTCTGAAGTCTTGTGTTAAAATGAAATTAAAAATTCTTTTGGCTTATTAGATAATTTGTTTTACTTTAATTGAAATCATTTTACTGCTTAGATGTTCAATGCATTTGAAATTGATTTTTTATTGGTTGGATTTCCTTCTAATAGAAAAACTATGACATTGGATTGGGTCCTCTATCATCTCTTCCCCTTCACACATTAACATCGTTGATTGTTTCTGAAGGTATGTTGGTTAGATTTTGATTTAGAATATGAGTTTGGTCTTCATTTTCTGATCTCCAATATTATTAAGTTTGATATCCATTTACATCTTTTTCTTTTAGATTTTGATGTGGTTTTAAAACTTTTGCAGCCTTTGCTCAAAAGAGAGAAGGGAAGGATGTACCACGATGTAACTTTTTCTTTTATTCTTTTCAATTAGAATGAAACAGGAGAAAATCTTCAGTCCGGAAGGAGTTAATCTGGAAGTTAAGTGAAGTGAATGATACAATTGAGAAAACATTGCTCTCTCGGGGGATTCGACTAGTGTTTGAAGATCATGCGTTCTTTCTTTTAGTTTGTAAAAGATAGTCTAGATATGTATAATGGATAGTAGTACTAGAACAAGTGCATGATGAGATGCTGCTCTATAAAGTGTTCTTGTTATTCCCATGTAACTTTGCTTGGATTGTACTCTGTTTTTTTTAGTTTTATGGAGGAAATGGAAAATTTATTTTTATTTGAAAAAAATTATAAAATTCTAAAAAGCAATTACGAGGAGAATCGGGGAAAAAAAAAACATTGGAGGTGCAAAAATTACATGACGTGAAAACTACTTATTTTGAAGTGACTCTATCTTTATCTCTTGGCAAGTCTGAAAACGTCTTCAAAGATTATTTGTTATAACACTTGTTGAGTGTCTTTAAAGACTATGTAAAACTACAATAAGCCTATTGTTACATTGAATTTAAAGGCACTTATACAAAATGTCACAATAGGTACAAATGTCTCTATAGTTAATGTTTTAAGACATTTTAAAGTGTCTCTAGTCGGCATTATTCTAGTAGTGCCCCCTCACTCAAGAGCTCTCTCTCAATTGAGTGGCTACATCTTGCCTCTCTACTTCCCAACTAGGTTTAGTACAAAAGCTTCCTATTTATACTAAAACCCTACACAAACTATTACAACCTTATTGGACTCTAGGCCCAATACTCACCATCATGGATTTGAAAATTTGAGGAGAAATCCAGCAAATCCTCCCTCGACTCAAAATCCCAAGTGCAGCAACAACATCTTCAAGAAAAAGGCTTGTCTCCATCTTCGACTTGAACTCTTCTATCTAAATGTCAAGTGAATCACAAACCCGTATCTCGAACCATCAGCATCTCAAAAAATAGGACAACCTCTCCATGGGTGGGAATGTCAACAAAACACACAACCTATTTTTCGCTTTCATTAGCAACACCACAAAAAGCACACACTAACACTGAGACATTCTCTACTTGGATATTCCTCCTCCTATCATCTCTTCCAAACTCGTCAAATCTTCTACTATGATAGGGAACCCCACCGGATGTGACCCCTTCAAAATAGTATTCTCATCATAACACTGCACACGTTAGGCCAAGCTTCTACATAAGTCACAATCCTCGCAAATGACTCACAACCCACAACTAGTGCGTCAACCTCCAACAACATCTCAAAGTTAAACCAAAGAACTCAATCGTCTTGTACCGCTGCTCTTGACTAGCAAGACACGCTGCCTGACCAACATGTCAGGTAGACTTTCGACACAAGGAAACCTCACACAAATCCAAATGGTCAAACTTCAAAACACCTCCACGGTCTACACACTTCTCTCTCGCACCACATCTTCAACACTTCAAACCACACATCTCTTCATCAAGATTATCCTCCATGAGTAAATCTTGGAACACTATACTCCACCAAATCACAAAATTTCAGCACCCACAAAGATTGGAGCCATACACACTCATCTCCACATCTTTACCAACTTTCCTATACCCCTAACACACTTCAATCCAGAAAAACAGCACAAACCAAATTGAATTTGACCAAACTAATGCCAAAAACGAACTCAGCAAGTCGAAATTTAGGGGGAAAAGTCACTTAAAAAATTTTGATGATGTGGTAGTGAACTGATGATATGGCGGTCGAACTTTGACTTTGCCCGATGGCATAGCAGCACAGTCAGTACCTACTTGGCAGACACCTCGGCGACATGTGGCAACATCTAATCCGTCACGTGTCACTCCCACAACTCTCCACGTGGCACCCAACAACTTCATCTTCCACATGGACGAATCAATTCGCGACATATGGAACACACGTGGCACACTCTCAGCCAATTACACACTGCCATGTGTCACCACTACATCTGATCCGCCACTCCAACAGGTGGTCCAGAACGCCTCAACTTCAATCTGAGATATCTCAACATCCAACGTCGGATTCTTCTCAAACTTCATCACTAACCCAAATTCATGGCATAGATTCCAGATCTGGTGTCCAATCAGCGAGATTCTGCTCTGGTAGCCAGAAAACTTGGGGGATTCTGCTCTGGTGTCCGATTGGCGAGATTCTCTTTTCACCGATTCCTCTCTCTCCGATGGTCCAATGCTCACGAAACTTGGGCTCCCAAAGTTTTTTGTTATGGGGAATCAACTCTGATCGGCCAGCAAACGCTTCCTTCTTGCAAAACCAAAAATCAACACTTCCTCCCGCTCAAAAAACAGTCCCAACTTCGAACCTTCAGCTCTGATACCACTTGTTGGGGATTTTAATCCCCTCTACACACAAATTGTTGAAAATTTACTCACTCAACAACACACGCGGAGGATTAAAAGTAAACAACTAAGCAAAACACAACAAGAAGTACAAACACAACTCACGTGATTCGATCTCTCATAGATCTACGTCCACGGGAATGGTAACACTTTCTACTAGTATAAGAATAGAAGAGTTTACAAAGGTGGAGCTTCTCTCAACACGCTATGTCTCTCTCCCTCAATTCTACTCTTATACTCTCTTACAAAGTGTTTCCATTACTCACCACATGTGCTCCGAGGAAGAAAGATGCACATCACTACACAAAGAAGTAGGAATTAGGAGAGGATCTCCACTCAACTCAATCTTAATTCTACCCTCCTCACTCAAGAGATATCTCTCAATTGAGTGGCTACATCTTGCCTCTCTTCTTCCCAACTAGGTTTAGTACAAAATCTTCCTATTGATACTAAAACCCTATACAAACTATTACAACCTTATTGGATTCTAGGCCCAATACTCACCAACATGGGTTTGGGAATTGGAGGAGAAACCCAACAGATTATACAAAGAGTAGTAACAGAGTTTTGGCTGATTTAAATATCAAAACCGTCTGACCTCATAATGAGGTTGATATACTAACCAGATGCACTCTTAAAGCTCAGGCTTGAGATATCTGAGAACAGGCAAATGATATAATATAATATCTTAGATTAAGTTACAAATTGCATCCCGACATTTTAGATTAAACCACAACTACACCCAATTTAGGAAAGGAAAATAAATGTGGTTCAAGTCCGGAAGAAGCTACTGCATCAATTCACTGCTTTACGGGTAGGCTTTGCTGCTTGGTTAATTTCTCGTGGACTGCCGATTTTCAAAGGCTTTTGCATTAGTTCATTGTTTTCATACTCAGCTGCGCGTTTTCTCCATAGAGATTGCTGTTTTTCCAAGACTTTCCCAATATCTTCTTCATTAATGAGCTTCTTCAACCCATGAGGCCCTACATGGAAAACACTGACGAAACCAAGACTCTCCCTAGCTCTATATGCAGCAAAGCATAACACATCTTTGGCTGCCTTCTCTGCTTCTTCCAAAGACAAACGATAACTATACCTATCAATTAAAGCCAAAAAATCCAAAAAAAAAAAATAAAAAATTGAGCAATCAAGATTGACCAAGTGTGACATAATCTCGCATACTAAAAAGAAAACGAGTGATGATATAGGAAGTGAGAAATCATAGTTAACTTTGGTACAATATATAACTTGATGTTTAAATCACTCATCAGTTGATTTTTAAGTAGTTATTAGCTCAAATACACATCAGTCACTACACCAAAGTCACTATAATCTTCTTTACCATACTTATTCAGACTTACCTAGCGTGAAGACCGCCGAGAGCAAATTCTGATCCAGATCCAGTAGTAAACTTTTTTCCTTGTTGCCGATACCCCTTGTCATCCACACAATGCAAGCAAGGATCCATTTCGTCACATCCAGCAATAATCATTTCAGACAAACCCTCCTCATTGTGAGAAGACAGATGCTCAGATATAAGACGCGATATCATTGTCGTAGAACTAAATCTTCTCTTCTCATCAGTGAGGAGGAGAAGACGTCTGCAGAGAGATTTTCAGGCTGCAATCTCTCCTGACATAATGCAAAGCACGCGAGCATCAATCTCAATGACCACATTTTCAGGTAATGAAACACCCGCGGCAGAGCTAGGTGCGTGATCAACAATGATCCCATCTTTGGTACGGAAAGCCAAAGATGTGGTTCCTTTTTCTATCTTAGGGTATTGATCGTGAAGCCTGAAAAGTGGGACGTTAGCCGGTGGACGATCAGGTGCATGAGATACTATTGTTACTGGAATATCAATGGGATATTTGACCGTTTTATTTTCTTCATTAGAGTTATTATTAACATCATCCAAGTCGTTACGAAGGTGGAGATCATCGTTATTAGGGTTGATAAATTTGGAATCTCGAAAGCTGGAGTTTGAGCCGCCGGGCAAGTCATCAGTTCTGCGAGATCCAATTATCGTTATCGCCTTTTCGCGGTTTATGGCAGAAAAGAAGTTTTCTGAGTGAGCTAATATATATACTGGAGAAAAGGTTTAAAACAAATAAATAAATAGGAAAGAAAACATCTTTAACGGGATGTAAAAATTACAACAAATCAAAACTCGAAGAATGTTACGTCTCCTGAAGGATTATCTCAATTTTTCTTACTTATTTCTAGCTCCACAGATTAAAAAAATAATAATAATAAGTGAATTAAAGTTCTATAATAATTATAAAATGTGCGAATTTGCTCTAAAATTGTCAAATACTGTATGATTTTTTTCTTCTTCTCTAATTTGACAATTTGCAAGAGAATCTACCACTGCAAAAATCATCGGCCAAACAAATGCCTGATATTGGATGGATAATGATTCGTACAAGGAATTGATAATAACCATTCATTTTTAATAATTTCTATTTGAGGTTTAAGCATTTAAGGTTAGCGCGTAATTTAGATGATTGACAACTCATTCTTTGTAAGTTTTCTTTGTTAATTTTTTCTATACGTATGATTACTCTATTTGGATTAAGGTTTTAGGGTTCAGTGGACCAGATTAGAGGACATAGCCGGATAGGAAGAGTACGGAGATAATTTTTAGATTAGTTAAACTTGGATAAATCAGTCTGTTTATAGCTAACGAGACATCAAAAGGAATAGTATTGAGACTTGAGATCAATCTTATAAGTTAACCGTATTCAGAAATTCAGACTTTAAGTGCACTACATAATTATTTCAGGACAAAATCAGGACAAGGGAAAGGGTTCAGGACCAATTCTGCAATTTTCCAAAAATTGATTTTCCTGTTTGCTTCAATTGGAACCATTCTATTACCAAAATATGACTCTAAAATGAATCAAAATATTCCATTTCGACTGAATGTTCTGTTCAGGAACACCAAATTCAAGGAAGTTATAATCAAGCGTTCTCTTCACATCATAGAAATCATGGTCATCTCATGTACAGAATCTGATCAAATCTTTGCAAAATTTTTATACATGTTCATATTCAGGTTTGCACACAAAGCAGAGCGAATCTGAGGTGGCCTAACTAGCTAACATACTGTTTCTCAAGAAGGCTTCCACAAAATGCCAAATCGAACCTTTCCTCAGGAGGGTCTCCGATGCAGTCAAAAACTGCATCTGCATTCAAGAAATCTTCATCAGCTGTGTACCTGTTCAGAAAAGATTGAGGTGATTACTTGTGAGTCATTTTAAGCAAAATAATGGAAAGTGATCGACTCTTGATCCCTTTTTGCCTGTGAAAGTACAGATCAAGGAAAGTCACATTAACATATGAATTTGTTTACTGCCCCAAGAGGGAAAAGCTTGAACTGCGTGGCATGCTTCAGATGCAAAAACATGAATAGTCTCTGGAGTTGATAGTGACAGATTTTTTTTCTGATCTAAATTAAGTCCATCTCAGGTTGCTTTTAAGATACTAAATTCAACACGAAGCAGTTATATACTAGATGCACCCTGAATCATCCGGCTTGAGATTTCCGACAAGAGGAAATTAATACAATGCTGTGGGTGGGAGGTGGAGCGAGGAATCAAAACATCACTCTTGAACCAAAGAGTAGTTGAGCTTACCCGCTCTTTGTCACGATACACTTCATTCCAGCAGCTTTAGCAGCAGCAAGACCAATGGCACTGTCTTCTACGACGACACAGCTGTAAGCAACGAGAACAAGTAACAGTTTCAGTTGACTGTAAGTCAGGTTGTTTCTTGCCAATTTTGAAAATATGAGACAGTCTCATTCAGTTAGATACATTTACGGAGCTTAAATGTATATGATACCTGGAGGGTTCAACACCCAGTGTTTTCGAAGCTAATTGATAGATGGCCTGAAATGAAAAGAGGTGATATCAAATGTTAGCAACTTCCCTCAGTCTGATGCTACAGAAAATCAAATTGCAATCGGAAATAGAAGAAATCGGTGAGGTTTGTTCATTTTGCTGACATTGAAGTGTTCAAATGGAATGAGAAGTAATTAATTTCATATTTAAGAACTTCCCAGAACCTTCTTCGCAGTTATACAAGCTTCAGAGACTATATTAATTTGGAAGAGTAGTTTACCGGATCAGGTTTCTTGCGAGGAACAACATCTCCTGCAAAAATCTGGATTTGTTCTGCTCGCTCAGGTCCAAGTAAGCATGAAACTATAGCAGACACCTAAAACCACAGCATCAAATGACAATCCAATGTGTATGGGTCAATGTTGTCTTATCTGAACCAAATTCGCAGCCTTTATTGGGCATAAAGATTGAAAGCTCCAGAAAAAGCAATGATTTCAAAAACCAAATTCATAGGGATACGTTTGAAACATAAATCTTGAAATAACATTGGAAAACTACATTTGTTATATCATTGGTCGTAAACTTTGATACATTTTCTCCAGGATACGGCAGCTTCTTAGGAATGGCAAAGTTTCAAAAGTGTGAAAATCCAAGGGGACCAAGTTTCTAACAGAGATAAATTGTCATAATGTCAACAGAAGTTTGAAACCTGATGAAGCATACCGCCTTCTCATTAGACGTGCTGCATACAGCAACTTTGACTCCACTTCCTAGAGCCTGATCAATCAACCTGTACAAATTTACCTGGAATTCATCAGCAAAACTTTTCAAACATGAATGATTACATAAAAAGAGACACCAATGCAGTTTATTTGCAACATTTTCTCTTCTTTAAATATGCTAGTACAAGCAGATTGGCATTGAAACCAATATACATGTCAATAAGTTAACTTGAGCTGACCACCTGGTTTCTCATAAAGTTTCATAAAGTGCTCTCACTAAACATCTACCACTAAAAATATATTGACTTATCAAGAGTTACTCGAGCACAACTACTCCCACTAGTTCAACTGCCTACCACATGCTTGTGTACTCGGAGGCCAAGCCCCATACCAGCAGTCAGCATTTGGCTTAGATCAACTAGCAAAAACAAGAACAATCAGTGACTCAGCAAATAACATGCAGAACTTCTCCTGGTGAATAAACCATCCCCACTAACAATGTCAAACATCGATTTGTATTGTAACCATGAGTACGAGGAAACGAGCTCCTTTCTCCTCCAGTAAGGTAACACGTATTGTACATGCATGCACTTAACAGCTCTCTGTAGACTATAATTGTTTCATTGCCATCTCAATTTGATTCATCCCTTTCAACTCCTCATAACCCCTCACATAACGTACTTTATCCTTGAAGTGAATAATTTTATCACTTCCAAGGCTTACAGAATTCTGTTGGCGCTTCAAACTACCACCAACGGTAATAAAGCTAATATTGCATCAGTACCAAAATCAGCTTACCAGGTCACGTTAGTCAATTTAACAATAGTTATCAGGAACACCAAGTTGCCTAGCAATTTGAAACAACATATGTAACGGTGACATAAATAACACAAAAAGGTTCATCATATCAACTGCAATTGCATGATTGAGACTAAACTAAATAGCATGAGCATCATGACATCATCTACTTTTAGGAAGACAACTTAACACCCTCCTTGCAACTTTTGATAAGAAAAGGAAGATGTTTTAGGACATCGAAGACCAGGCTGAGTAAACTTTCTCTTGTATGTTATATTTAATTAACCATCATAGAAATACAAGATGATTAGAGATAATTTCTTCCAGTGAGCAAGTACAAACTTTATGTCTCCATTTCCTTCAGTACACTAAAAATCACAGCATGTAAACAGCGACATTTTTTTGTAAATGAACCACAAGTAAACTTGAAACAAGTTTCAATTGTAACTTCTTCCGTAGTTGTGCAATTGAAATGGCCAAACACAACAACAAATATAGGACTCACTTTGCAACACCTGGTCGAAGTGGTAGCAACTTCTTCTCGATAAGTACCATAAACAACTCAGTTTTCCGTTTGTGAAGTGAGGCTATGAATTCTTTTCGTTCTTGATCTCCTTTTGGTGCCTTCTCTGGCCATCCCACTTTGTTAAAGTAGGCTGTCATTCTAAAAGACCCAAAAACTATGTTGAATCAACTCAAACAGATTTTTTTAGTTTTTCTTGCGACAAGTTTGGAAACAGAAACAACAGAGAGTTACCTTTCTTTTCCACCCCCAATTTTGAGCAACTCTCCATACAGGTCCACATCCCAGGTTACACCCAATTCTTTCTACACATTTAAAACAGAAAAAATTCCTAATCATCCAATAAATCATTAAAAGAATCCTACCACAGAAAATAAAATGGAGTGACAGAGTCCTAGCAAAAACAAAAGCCAACCAAATTTAGTACTTCCTCTGCATCGAAATGGTAAACCGGACAGTTATTTTAAGACGTAAAGAGTATCAAATTCGATCAAAAAGTCACAAAACAAACTACGAAAACAGGATAATCAGCGCATGGAAATTCCCACAAAAAGAAGAAGGCAAGATAGGATGTTTTTTTACTTCTGCAAAGGTGTCATTGAAAGAAATGCGGTGGCCATCCTTCTCAGTATCAACAAGCACCCCATCACAATCAAAGAGCAGAGCTTTGGGAAGATTTGATGAAGCAGCAGAGCAGACCACCCCACTTCTTTTCCGGCGGAACCCGTTATTGTTCTTCAGTACAGTGCCTGAAATCCGGGTGCAGCCATTAATGCTGCTTGTTAAACTTGAAGAAGAGACTGATTGAGGGGTTTTGATCACTTGGGTCGCTGTAAAACTCAACGATGAAGTACAGCAGAGTGCAGAGTTAGACTTGAGAGTGATCAAAGAAGATGTAGAGGCTGCAGTTGCCATCTTCAGTTACTCTCTTCCACTATTTTTTTTTTTTTTTCGGCTTTGTTTTTTGGTTTATTTTTAAAGGTTAGTATTTTGGTTGGTTGGAAATAACGACTTCTTTGAAACACATGCGTGGGAAGGCCAAGTTATCCACTTCAATCCCAATTTAGCCACACAACCCTTAATAGAGGGAGAGACCTGAAGTAGAATAGAATTAGTCGACTGAACTCCTGAGATTAAAAAGTTCGTAGCTGAGTTTGTATCTTTATTAATACAATAAACACGACTCTTATTTTATTGACGAAGTGTTTCAAAACTTTTCGTCAATAAGCTTTTCTCAAGGGGTTGTGGAGTGTGGACACAGAAACTGGACATTCCTTGGCAACATCATCTCAACAATGAGAGGGACGCAAAGTCGCAAACACAATATCAGCAGCAAAATATACCATGCATTTATACTGCATTTCTTAAGCAAATACTATCAGAAAAGAATTGAATAAAAAAAGGCCGCCATCGCCACTACACAGAATGGACTTGCAATTCTGATCTGTAATAGACAGTAACTATCTAGACTGTAAAAATTTTGCTCACTTCCGCGTGGATACAGAGCTAGCACGAAACGCAATATTGCAGCAAAGTGTTTGTCCTAACGGCTTCTGCAGCAACACTGGAGATCTTGATATCAGATTGCCAATTGCTAATTAGAGTCGTGCTCATGTGAGGATGACCTTGAGAATCACATTAGCATTTCAATGTTCCAGTTGTGTCAATCCCCGAGCAATCAGTTGCATCTTACTATTTTATGGTAAGTTCATCCAATGGTTACGAAGATATTGTACTCTTATGCTATAGCATAAGATGAAGGACTACTACTCTTTCAAGATGCTGGATTACCACCCCAGAAAACAAAAAACGGCCTCTACATGCAACTAATTTGCAACACTTTTTGATGCCACCTTCTTTTTCCTCTTGTGCTTAGGCTTCACCGCGTCCTTTAAGGTCTTTTCTCCATTTCCTTGTTGTCCAGTTCCAGCAGCTTGATCTAATGAATGTGAAGCCCTCCTGACAGGAGCTATGTCAGTTGTTTGTCTTTCAGCTGACTTCTCTTTCATTGATTTCTCTAGCTTCGCAACAGCCATTCCATCTCCTGTGCAACAGTTAGTTTCACATTTTATTAACACCTTTAACAGGGGTATAAGTGAAAATGCAATATGAATTGCCACTTGCGCAATGGTAGCAGTAATAATTGTTTATGACCTCAAAACCTCGTTTGCAGTAAAACTGGGCCAATTATACATAGCACGGTCATCAAGTAAATAAAAAGGAACGCCACAACTCTGCCCAGTAAACTTCAGACCCTCCTTATGTACAACGTATTTACATGCACTCCACATTGAAGGCCAAAAACAATGAGGTTAAAAAAGTGGGTATCTCTCACCAATATCAGAAAACATTTATCATTTTTGTTAATGGACACTTCTATTTCACTCCATCAGAGCGAACCATTTTCAGATCAAGACAGCAACTAAATCTAATCAACAACAAAATTGCATTTTAATAGCAAGAAATACAAGAAAAATACCTCGCGAAGCAAGAGATGCTTGCAATCCATCAAAATCAACACCTTTTGAAACCGGATCCCTGAAGAAGTGACATGATAAAACCAAATTTCAGATATTGATGCATAAAACTGTTGCACCTCTTCATACATTTGCAACTGCTAAAGGGAAGCATGTATATTTAAGAGAGCCAAGTGGCAATGTTAAGTCTAAACACTACATTCAGCTAATAATCATCAATATTAATTGCCCAAAAACAACCAAAGATGTGTGTATCTAAATCATTGAACCTTGCACAAAAACATGATTTAACCCATCCTTAAACAAAATACACTATACATGAATTCGAAGTGTCCATATTACTTTAATTCATTCTAATATCAATTGGTTGTAAGGAAAATTTGACACACTATCAAGAACATGGTACAGAAGGTGCAAAACTATGTGACAAAGACCCTACCAACTCGAGGGTCCACCAACGAAACTGTTCAGTCTGCTCTGTCTCCTCTCAGCAACATCTTGTTCTGGTCGGGGTTCAATTTCCATGTCATCATCTCGACTTACACTTTTTTCCTCTTGTTTCGGTAACAATTTCTCACCGTCAGCCATTGACACATCCTTAACTTCCTTCTGACTAGGTTCACCAACAGAAACAGCCACAGTAGAAGGCTGCCGCTTAATCTTTCGTAGTGCTCTTTCTGTATCGTACAAGGCAACCTGCGAATAGATATCGACGACGGTTAACACAAAAGAACTCATAAAACATGTCATCTTCGTAACATTCCGAACTTATGATTTGATTATAGCAACTACAGTAGAAAACTACAAAAGCCTAACTACAAATACATTATCTAACCAACAAAAGAAAAGGCAAACATAGAAGACTGAAAATTTGAAAGACTCTAAACTTGAATTATTTTGACTTTCCCTATTTACTTCTGGAGGTGTCCCTCCAGACTAACAGCAACACTATCTCAGTTAAAGATTTTAGTACTGAGAGATGAAAAGACAGACCCGTGAACATTAGGCACTGTCCATGAACTACTACAACCTAATTCAAGCACAGGCATGAGAGAGAAACCAACAAAATATCAAATCATTGAATGCATACCGGATTATAATAAATTCTTTATCTTTTGTCCCCCTTTTGTTTTATTTTGAGGGGAAAAGGCCACTCTGGTCCCTCCAAAAAAAGTCGAAGGACGTGAGAGAGGAAGGAGAGAGTAAGAATGAACATCACCCAAGATAGACATCACTTGTCATATACAGTATTTAGAGAACAGAGCACGGACAATTTATCAATTTGCAAGACATTCATTTGTCAACAACAGCGAATTTCTAATCGACTACAAGCAAATCATAGTTGAGACAAATTGCAAAAAAGAAATTGTATATATATCTTACAGCTTCCTTTATCTTATCAGTAAAACGTTTAGCGTTTCCTTCAGCAATACGTATGCACCGAATGATTTCATTCGGCTCGACACCATCTCCACCAGCTTTTTGGATTGCACAAATATCACCATTTGCATTAAGGGTGGCAGTCAATCTTCCGCGCATAACACCCTCTTCAAGGTACGTCGGGTCTATCAACTAGCATCATCCAATAAGTGGCATGAGAACTAGCAACTGAAAGAAATGGAAAAAATAACAACACTCAAATTCTATTTTCTTACCAACATGCATTTTTCGCCAATAAATCCAAAGGTTACTGCAATAGGAAGATGATGTATAATCAAAGGAAGCGGCTCCCTGACCTGTCAAATATATTGAGAAATTCAATTTCCTGACATAAAATATAACTTCTTTCGAAGTTTATAGCCTGCAAGCAGACATTTCAAAAGCTTCCCTGTCTGATCAAGGTTTTTATATTTGACAAGATTAGAAAAAGACGAAAAACTGCAAACACAAAATATGAACTATTACAATATGGCTGCAAAAGTTTAAATGAACAATCATCAGTAATAGAGCTCCCCCGGATCTGAAAATTTTCAAAGCAGACTCATTTCACTGTACAATGACAAGGTAACAAAACATCATTTGCAAATGGTATAGAAGCATAAAACATTAAATGCTCCAGAACTAAACAATTACTGCATGAAGGCTGCATGTTTGAATTACATCATACAGTGTAAAGAACTGGGCTAATCTCCACATGTTTCAGTTACCAACATGAAGTTGAAAATACATAATAAAAATATTTCCTATAATTTCCAAAAACAGGTAACTTGATAAAGAAGGGGAGAATAGCAAGCACAAAACACGAGAGGGATGGAATTAAAACTCTTATACACAGACTATATATAACAGCTTCAGATGCAATCACTAAAAAAAATTTACTCCGGCAAAATATATTGAAGCAAATCAATGACTACAAAATGGATATGCCAATTAATGAAAACAAAAGAACTTCCAATAACACAAAAAAGGTCAAGCCACAGTGTACACAAATCTAAAAGGCACACAAAGATAAAGTATGTGAACTTTAATCAAAACATCCAAATTCCACTGGCAGAAATCAATGCAAACATAACTATTCTAACTTACAGCCAAACACAAAATCTATGTAATATGTTCGGTTCCAATGTTAAATCAATGTAGGACGAGTTAAAGATCTGATTAAACAGGCATAACAAGAGAGGGAAGTAGTTTCACTAACCCCTTCAAAGATAGCAGTCAAATAACAGCGGAAGAAGTAGCATCAACCACTTGAAAAATACGGAAAATAGGAATTGACACAGGGATTTGTTCTGTGTAAAAGTAATTAGTAGGGAGGAGCACAGAATTTCTTTGATCTTTCTTCATAAGTAGCTTTTGCTCTGATCCATCGTAAAGAAGATTCACATTACAGCAAAATTAATACTAATCAAACAAGTTTGTATTTATATAGATGTTATAGCAGTCGGTAATTTGTTCTTTTCTTCTATATCTCCGATACTAGTCATTAGAAGTTCAAAAACTAAGTTTACCACAAAATGAACAATTGGCCATGAAGTTAACAAAAATTTAAGAGATGGGGAAAAAGGGCTCTGAAAAATGGAAACAGGGGCGCCACTATGATGTTTCCTACCACAGTAGAAGGCACGCCACTATGAAAATAGGAGCTCATAACTTCTACTTCATTATAGTTTATAATCAAATATCATGATAATAGGAACAAAAGATATTCTAACAAACAGATCATCTCCATAAAACGAACCAAAAAAATGAAATCGTACTTCTCTACTATTAAAGGGTCATCTCATCACTCGTAATGATGACCAAATAAAGCAGCAACTCGCAATATAGAACATGCTTGATTCCTAAGTTTGCTTAAAAATAACAAAATAACAACTTTACGTACAACACAAGGAAGAGGGAGGATTAAAGAAACCAGACTTGGAAAAGTTCACCTCAGGTGAATGTATTATCACTTCTTGACCATCATCACCTCCTAGTGAACATTCAGGTCTTCGAAATGTTGAGAGAGCAGCTAGAGCAGCAATATTGGCAGCATCAACAAGATTTCTGTTCCAAACTCAAAACAAAAACAACAACAATAAGAAATGAAAGGATCCCAAAAATGTATGCAAGTGAATAACTACAATACAAATGGTATATGTTCATTAGCTTACCCCCCATTGTCTAAGATGTGAAGATCAATACGAATAGACCAGACAAATTTCCCAGAGACAACACAGAGCGATTCAGTATCTACTGCCCTGCTTTCTCTGCAAAGTGAAAGCTTTATGTATTAAAGACCAACACAAAATAATTATTACCAGCTCAAAGGAAATCAAAGCTTAGATAGCAGAATCTGAAATGAAGACATCGCAAAAATGCCAAATCTAGATTTTTCAAGTTCTCAGTGTTCCATCAGTTCAAAATAACTGAAAGTTCCTTTTCCATCCCAGCAAACATAGCATCAAGATACTACCCTTAGTGTGCAGTTTTGACAGCAGGTATATACATTGTCAAGTTTTGTCAAGAAGCTAAGTTTTGATCAAACGGGCCAGTACCCACATAACCTTATCAACCTTGGTAACGGAAATTTTTAATGAAGGAACAATAGTTCCTAAGAAAGAATTTAGACCCATACGCCTAAAGTTGGTATTCTGAAAGGTGAGCCCAAAAAAGCTACAAGATTATTTATAACCAATAAAAGGAAAGAACAGCACTCACCTCAAACCACGATCGACTACACGCCCTAACTCCACAGCAGATTCCCCAGGACGACCTGCCTCAAAGGAAGGATCAGCCATGGGAGAAAACTCTGTGAATATAGAAAGAGATCCTTCATTGGGCCTGTCTCGATATGGCTGCACTAACTGGGAAGTCACAAATGCCATGACATGAGTCTGGCCAAGCTGCACCTCACATGTCCCATCTTCCCTGCTTGCAGTAACCAAAAAAACCCCTCGTTTAACATAATGCAAAATTTCCGCAATACTTATCAAAGTGCAGTAACCATACTCAAACTTGATATCGACTAATTTATGATAATTGCTTCCAACGGCTTATGTAGATATTTCTACGTTAAGTTCAGCAACAATTGAAGGGAAAATTTCCCCTGCTTAAGTGAGTTGATATGTAATGTAAAAGCTGAGAAGACCAGACAAATAATTACACAAAATCAAACTCATTCCCTAATCTGGTGAAAGTGGAGAAAAACAAAAAACCAAAACCTTGATTAACCGGAAGCTCAATTTAACATCTTGGCTTGCTTTCAGTTTGCTGTCAGTTATATTCATTTTAGTTTTATGACAGCTGGTCTAGCAGATGGAAAATAAGATGAAAACACATAAGAAACTAGTATTGGACATGAAGATGGTCATGTCAAAAAGCAGAAGAAAACGGAAATCTTAGTCATTTTTTAGTATTTATGCTCTTCGTCCGGAACCAAAAAGAGTAAATATTATATTTCAGTCTCAGAGTCTAAACATGTTCATATTGTACCCTAGAACTCATTATGCTGACAGATTTACGGGGGAACCGCAACCAAGAACTGAATCTTGTTCTTGTTCCATTTTATAATTTCATGTCCAAATATGTATGTGCAAAGGCAGATAATATAAAATCAGCATTAGTATATACCTTGATAATCAAGCAATAAGTGGAAAGTAAACAAGGCCAAATAGCTTGGATAGAAGTATTAAAGCAGGAAAGAAGCATCAACTGACAGATTTGCATAAATGGATCACAAAAACGCCATTAATAAGTTTAAAACAAAAGGCATTGTAGGCGTCCCGCAATCGAGCAATACCCGAAAACCGATATCTTACCTGCCGAATTTGATAGTTAACTCCCTGTACTCAAAGGGACGACGACCATCTATTCTGATAGGCGCTTCCTCAACAGCCAAAGCAGCCTCTATAAACTTCTTCTCATTCAAAGTCATCCGGAATGTATTAGCTAACCTCTGCTCCATCATATACTACACCGCAGATATCAAAAGCAAAACTATATTCTCAGTTGCCGGACAACCAATTGGCAGCACAAAAAAATAAAAATAAAAAATAAAAAAAATTACCTACTGAACTGATAGCCAACCAACACAATGAACGACTTGGGCTTCCGCTAGATTGGTCGGAGAACGCTTCTGTTTTCACCAGGTGGGTGCTGAAACAAGAATTCAGAGACGGCTCCGCCGTTGATTGGAGTTTTTGTTCCGGGAACGGGGAAATTATTTTGAATTGGGGTTAAGAACGAAGGGTTTAAGCCTTTAAGGAATTGGAAAATAACACTTTCGCATCCTTTATTTAAACAAAAAGCCTTTGTTTTGCCTATTTTAATTTATAATTTATAACTTTCCCCCCAATGTTTTTATACAAAATCGAAATTACTCCCTCGCGTCCTAAAAAAATTAATCCACATAATTAAGTTTTAAAATTTGCACTCTATTTTTTTAGGACGAGACGTAGTAACAATTAACTTATGTACATTATTTGATCTTGTAATAATTTGTAAAAATATTGGAAGACAATTAACTAACTTATAAGTACTCGTCCTCATCATCTTTTCGATTTTAGCCTTTAAGGAATTGACAAATAACACTTTCGCATCCTCTATTTAAAACAAAATCCTTCTTTTGCCTATTTTAATTTATGATTTATAACTTTCTTCCTAGTGTTTTTATACAAATCACCCAACAAATGATCGACATAATTAAGGTTTAAAATTTTGTACTCTATTTTTCTAAGACAAAAGAAGCAGTAAGTAGTAATTAACATTTGTACATTATTTGATCTTTTAATCATTTGTAAATGTGATGGAAGATAATCCACTAACTTGTTGTACTCATCCTCATCGGTTTTCTATTTTTATTTTGGTTGATATCATACTCGTAAATTAAGACAAATTATTGAGTTTGAACTTGGGAGCATTTACTAGCAAGCATCCATATGTTTAAAAAAAAGGATCCATCAATTTTTTTCCCTAAATTTTGGTTGATATATCTCCTTTTCATTCTAAATAATTTTCTTTAAATAATTATATTTCTTTTAATTCTATTCTTAAAAGTGGGTTTCTTTTGTGGGGGAAGGGGGAGGGAGTGGGTAATGTCTAGCAGCAATAAATTAGTCAACACTTTGAACAATTATATACACAAGATGGATCAGACACGTTTCGTGCATATACTATGTATAATGACATTATAATAATTATATAAATAAAAAATAGTGAGTTACCTTGCTGTCTAACACACTATCTCCAAAATGTATTAACAAATTTATCAGTAATAAAAAGTATATACTCAACAAAATGTTATCACTAGAACTCGTCACTTGTGATTTCAACGTTAGTGACGCATGAACAGGGAAAAATAAAACAAAATCAAGTTTCTGTATTACCAAAAACAAAAAGGAGAAAAAAAAAGAATTAAGTACTCCAAAAGTACTGAAAAGATGCCATCTGTATTCACTCGGAACTAAAAAGAAAAAACGTTTTACTTTGATACTAAATGGTGGTCAGCGGCAGTGGACAGTGGAGTTGACCAAGGGTATAATCGGTAAATCAAAAAAATGAACCACAGTCCCCACGCACGTGCGAGTCACGTGGTTGCCGTCCAAAATTTTGGGCGGGAAATTCAAAATTCAAAAAAAATTGAATTTGCCGCCTTGAGCCGCCGCTTCAACGGACGGCAACAATGAGGGGCGCCACCGTGAACCACCATCGAACCACCGTGAGTCAATGCCGGTCCAAAGCCGGGGCACCGCTGATCCACCGCCGGCCTGTGAATATTCCAGTCATAATCCGGTATTATCGTCGGGATATTCGCCGGCCGGGGACCGGAATATTCGGTTCTGATTCCTGCGACGACAAATTCCCGGCGACGACTAATTTTTTGTGCCCAATAAATAACGGACCATCAACTATTCGAGGCCCAAAAAAAATAAAACATCAACTAATTAAGCCCAACCTATTTAAAATTTTAACATATTAAATACCAAAAAAATTCAACTTTACAGAACCTTCTTCTTCTTCCCCAATTTATATCGGGTCCAACATCAAACCCTAAATTCGATTTTGGCCACCCCGACCGCGATTACATCCCACAACAAGCACCAATTCTTCAAAATTGGTGAAAAAAGATGTGAAGATCTCCCTCCCCCGCCCCTTATCCCGAACATTCCGTATGTTTTTGTGGATTGCCGGCTGAGCTCACGTCGGCGAAGACACCAAAAAATGCGGGTCGCAAATTTTTTGGTTGCCCAAGGTACCATTTTGATGCTTCTTGTGGTTTCTTCGATTGGTTTGATTCTGAGAGGTGTTCCCGTTGTATATCGTTGCTGCTTAGTTTTTTCCAAGCCTTGATAAAGAGAAGGGAAGAGATAGCAGAGAAGAATGGCTTTCTTGCTGAAAAAGATGAATTATTGGCTAGGAAGGATGTCCTTCTGATGGAGAAAGATCATATGGTGGTGGAGATCAAGGGCAGTTAGTGGGTGCAAACCGAAAAGTTAAGATTTTAACTTCTCTCCTTCTAGCAACCTGGGGGTATGTTTTATTTTGTTCCAAGGGAAACGTTGAAGGTGATTGGTGACTGTGAAAAAATCCTTCATTGATTGAAGAATTGGATGAATTACCTTAATTTTAGTTTTTAGTAGATGATTGTAGTGGGAATCTTTCTAAATTTAAGGGCATTTGAATCCGGTTGAGCCAAATATTGGTGTGTTAACGTGTATGTGTTTGTAGTTTAGTGTTTTAAGCATGGTAATGTGTATGTGTTTGTGGATTTTTAAGACTGTAACAGATGTTGTTGCCAGTGCTTCCAATTTAAGGCAATCTGTTTATTTTGCTGCCGGTAATGTGATCTACGTACAATTAAGGTTTATTTTGTAAATTAAACTCGTCAATCTTATTTTGCTACGATTGTCAAGTTATCAATGAAATGTCAAGTTATTGATTAAAATATTTGGTTATCACTTATCAAGCAAAAATTCCTATGATAATAAATTAGACGTGACATGTTTAGGTAAAGCCGGACATTGTAAGCCGGAATAGCCTCAGTTCTGTTTTTTCCTTTAACAAACTAAAGACATAAATCTCAGTTCCAAAAAAAGAAACAAAATTGATGGTTACCGAACCATCTGCATAAATTTATCTTAAGTTTGTAACAAAATATCATAGTGCCTTCCAAAATACAAAAACCATCAATAGCATACCACACCATCAGACTATGCCTATCTGAAGGAGTCCAAAATATAAATTTAAGAATAACTTCGGCATACAACCATATCGAAACTGAACCAAAGTTATATAATAAAAACTTAATCATCCTTGGTGAGATTCTACACCATGGAATGTCTTTGGCTTCTTACGCAAGAAGGTGCTTGCTTCTTCTTCTAGTTAATATTTGAATGGCATTTTCAGATGTACTCCCAAGTCCATCAACGTCCATCCTTTTCGAAAGTGCTAGATTCATCAGCCTTGCACTAGCTCTCCTCGGGGTTGTAGGGGCTGAAGAAGTACGAATTCTTGTGCGTTTTTTGGGGGCAGGTGCACTTACTTTGGGCCTTATAATTCCTGACCTTGGATCTTTCAATGCTGCAGCAAGACTTTCCCACTCTATATACTCTGTCTCTTCTTCGAACAGTATATCCAAAGCCACCTACAAAAAATATAATACAATATTACTTGTTACTTTCAAACACAAATAGGAACCAAAATGTAACTTACAGAACCTAATTATCAAATACATTCTACTTGGAGCCAAAAGAGAAACTAACCTCATCATCAACTTCATGACTAGCATTTCCAGTATGTTTTGGTTCAATCTCATGTACATAATCCTCATCTAAAGCAGATTTTACAGGTGGTTATGATTCTGGCTGATGAACAGGAACTCCAGTTTCCGGAGGATTCTCAGTTACAGGTGGTTGTAATTCTGGCTGATGAACATGAGCTCCAGTTTCAAGAGAATTCTCAATTGCAGCTGGTTGTGATTCTTGCTGATGAATAGGAACTCCAGTTTCAGGAGGATTCTCATTTAGAGGTGCTTCTTCCTCAGCAACAGCATTTGCAGCATGGGCATTCACATCAACACCAGCATCCAGATCCCTCTGAAACGTAAAAAATGGTATTGTAAAGACATGCAAACTACAAAATCAGAACAATCATTCTTGCATAAACTGGTTATATATACTACTTAACTTACCTCTAATTCATAGCATTCATTTCTATAATGTCCAAAATAGTTGCAATAATCACATTGGATATCAAGCCTAGGACAATTGTCTTCTCCGTGGTCATTGCTTCTGCAGAAGTCGCATCCTTCGTGCATATAACCATCTTCAGGGGATGAATATCCACTAGGTTGAGTAAGGTGCACCAGGGGTATTAAAAACCTACAAGAGTTTGCATCGAATAATAGATATTTATACTTTGACAGAAAAAAAAAATATTTAGAGTAAACAGTAATCTAAACTTTACCTCACTTAAATTTTCAAGAATGTTCCATCAAGACCAATAATGTTCATACACCCTTCTTTGAAACCTCTCTTGCATGCCTCATAGCACAAATACAACCTTTTAAATGTACTTGGTTTCGCAGGTTCAATCATCAATTCAAATGTCGTCCCAGGATTAGCCTTCTTCGTTGCTTTAATGTACCTTCCAACTGGGCATACTGCTCTTCAATTTTCCCTCTTACTTTCTCCAATGCCTTTACCTTGGCCCTATATGCTTGAGTCCTAGATATGGTAATTTTCTTCTCATTATGAACCCTAAATTGCACAGTGCTCACACTCATTGAAGGGTCATTTGCAAAGTCAGCAACAAACCAATCAGAAACTATATTGGAGTTGCAATTCTTGTTTTTCTCCCATATCCTACCACAAGTGTGATTGTTATTTACAGTCCTCACTTCAAATGTGTCTGCATCTGGCAACTTCACTCCATAAATTTCCCAGTTGCAGCCAGGTACACAAATTCCCCTCACCTCCAATTTAGCATTCTTCTGAAACATAATAGCCCTTCTATCAACAAGAGCATGCATTCTGATGGCCTTCAAAAGTATCCACTTAGTCCCAAATCTTTGGTTAATATCAAATGTTGGGTTGGCCATCTCTTTCGCAGGATTAAACTCTCTATATTTCTTCACTTCTTCATGAAAGTCCTCATCATCCAAACAACCCCTTTCATGAAGTTCTTCACACGAAGCATAGTCAGTTTCAGAGGCCACATCAGCACCACCATCATGGTTTGCATGTCACACAAATTCAGTTTTCTTCAAAGTTCCCCAACAAGAACCACTCATCGAGTGATTGGCTAACTTCTGAACCCTTTCATCATCAGAATCACAAGTATAATCACTTTCAGGTTCATAGTCTTCATCATCAGTATCATCATCACCTTCATCTAAATACGTAGGCTTTCTCGGTTTAGGTTTAGCCCCTCCAGGTAATGGATCATACTCAAGTTTCCCTATCCTATAGATGACCACAGGAGACTTCATTTCATCAGACAGTAAAACAAGTATATATTTAAGGTCTTCATTAGTGTTTAATCTCCTAAAACCAAAATATTCAGCTACAATAGGGTCTCTAAAAAACAGCTTATGAGGACTACAAAACTCTACACGTTCCAGAAATGAGTAACACTCTTCCAAACAAAGCTGGTCAGTTGTCACTTCATCAAAGTAATCAACCTCTACCTTTAAATATGTCAGTACACCCTTCCTGTAGGTCACAAACCCCCCACTATGAAATAATTTGACAGTTACAATGTTAGACCCTTCACCTGAAAAAGATATCAAAAAGTGTGTCACTCTATGAAAGAAAACAATTAAAAACTAACAAACTATTCTGGAATTATCAACAAATTAACAATAGTTAACCAATTTCAAGCTAAAATGTCCCCTCCCAGCACTACAAGTTGGTCATGAACGTTGTAAGAAAGTGAAGAACACTAAGTATACAAACAGACAAGTAAAGAACACAAAGTATACAAACAAACAAGGAAATAACGCATGAATCGAGAATGAATCTGAACCCTAGCCTACTCCACTATTAAAAAAAGAAGCCCATCTCAACAAATACTTTTAAAAAATCCATTTCACAAACTTAAACTATAAATAAATCAATGTAAAATCCAAATATAACAATTTCTAGGGCTTACCATAATCTGGTACTTTTGAAACTTCATCTGGGGATCGAACATAATCCTCGCCCCTCCACATCTTGGTTGATGAAATAACCCCGAACGATGTCACCTTTGATGTTAAAACCGATGAGACCGCTTGTATTTTCTGGCAACAATTCAGACTGCGTCTCAGATCTGAAACAAAACCGAAACCCTAATGGAGGTAAATCTCCAAAACAAATCCAGTGAGTCCCTTTAATACTACCCTATTTGGTAAAGATTTCAAAAAAAAAAACAATGAATTTAGCCCGCTATACCCCCTTGTTCTTTCGAATTTCACAAACCCTAATCCCAATTTCTATAACTCACGTTTTCTCTCTCCCTGTTTTTCTCTCCAGTATTGTTTCCTCTCTCCCCAAAGTGACTTTTTTATTTTTATTATGTTTGAAAATGTATATACTGCATTGGGATTGGGTTGGGCCTTAATAATTTTTACATTAATTTTAATTGGGTTGGGCTACTTAAAAATTTTGGCCCGTTGTATTATATGGCAGCCCATGCCAAGAATTGGCTGTCGCCAGGATTGAGCCGTCTCTGGTGATCGGAACAGTAAGTTTCGCCAATCGGCCAGCGAAATTCCCCCGGCGAATATGCCGGAAAATGACCGGAATATATACCGGCGGCGGCGGCCCGGTGGTGGTCCGGTACCTGACCAGCGGCGGCCCAGTGGTGGTTCGTACCTGACCGGCAGCGGCCCGGTGGTGGTCCGGTGCCTGATCGGCAGCGGATCGGTGGTGGACCGGTGGCTCGATGGTGGTACATGGCGGCTCAAGGCGGCAAATTCAATTTTTTTTGAATTTTGAATTTGCCGCCCAAAATTTTGGGCGGCAACCACGTGACTCGCACGTGCGTGGGGAGTGTGGTTCATTTTTTTGATTTACCGATTATACCCTTGGTCAACTCCACTGTCCACCGCTGCTGACCATCACCCTTTTTCTCGGAAAACAAGCGGAGAATCGAAAAAAAATAAAAGTTCACTATTTAGTACCAAAGCGCAACGTTTTTTCTTTTTAGTTCCAAATGAATATAGATGGCATCTTTTCAGTATTTTTGCAGTAATTAATTCAAAAAAAAAAAAGGAACAACTGAAAAAAGAAAGAAAAAATAAATTCAAGAAGATAAACATAGAGATGAATAATGAAGGATGATTAATTCCGATAGACTTGAGAATGAAATATAAAAGTAGAAAATTGGAAAGAAACAAAAAAAAAAAGAAGAGAAGTGACAAAAACTTACACTCTTTATAATTATATATAGGTAAGTTTAGACTACATAACTTTTGATTTTCTTTTCAGTTATAGAACAATTTAAACTATCATTTAGGAATCTATTAAATTCAAACAAAATAAAAGAAGAAGAAAAGACATTTTGGAATTCAGAGTGATTATAATCACCGAATCCGTTTTTAGGTTGATCAAATTCACCTAATAATGAGAAATAATTTTATGGTAATCTTAAAAGTTACAAATATTGAAACCATTTTAGACTGATCAAATCCTCCTAACAATGATTTTTTTTTGTAATCTTAAAGATAAAAATTAATGGAAGAGATATCAAAGGTTCACTACATATTGTTTGATGATGAATGACAAATTATTATCAAAAAAGTAAATATAAAGGAGTACTTAATTAGTATATAATATAAAGATAATAGGCAATAAGTGAGATAATAATGGAATAAATTAAAGAAAATGTAAATGGTTTTGTTCAAATTAGACGAGGGACTTAAAGAAAAAAAACCAAATATAAAATTAAATGAGAGACTGCCAAACTTTTAAGGTTATTTTACAATTATAAAATAGTATGATGACTAATCCTTGTTTCCTAATTGTTCATCTCTTCCTAAATAATCATCACGTGTTTGTTTTCATCAGTAGTTCACCACCAAAAAGAAGGGTGTTTTGTTTTGTGTTCAAGAAGAGTCCACATGCATGTACTATGTCGTATCAGTGTTCTTTTTAATTATGAAAATCTCCCCGGAAATAAATATATCCATGCCTACTAAAACTATGAAATACACAATGAGAGGTAAATCATTCAGCACACATGAAAAGCCGGAGTGTAATATAAGTGACATATGACATAAGATCGTTAATGATGTAGTATCAATCAAATTGAAAGGTAACTCGTTTACATCATTAATAAGCGAATGACTGAAATTCTCCATTAAAAACATAAATATCACCATTCCAACCGTGATTTTCCATTCGCGATCGCGCTTGACCTATTTTTTTCATCTTGATAGTGTATAGCTCTATATATTTGCATCACACTTGACTGAAGTTTTAGGTATTTTTGTACTAAGCACTCGAACTTAGATGATGAAAATCTGAAAATCTTGACACAGTAGATCTTTACTTGTATAAAATAACCTAGATGATGAAAAGTTTACAATTCCATCATATTTTTTCCACTTGTCACAATATCTAGAATCCCGAAATGTTCTTCGAAATTTCTTTTCACTTAAAACTGTTACAAAATCAAACTAAGCTCTGCAAAAACAAGAGCAATGAAGCTTCCCATAACTAAAACAGAAACAGCAACCTATCTTCTTTTCTTCTTCAATGCAGTCATAGCATTCATTTTATCCCTGAGATAGTAGAGCTTGGCCCTCCTCACTTTCTTCTTGTCCAGGATCTTTATCTCCTTTATGTTTGGCGAGTACCTGATGCAAAATATGTGATTCAAACATCACCACAAGCACCATCACAACAAATAAGTAGTGATTACAGCGAAAAATGGACTGATACATGCTTAAACATCTCAAAGTGAACCCAAAAGTAAATACCATGCAGTGCACATGAGCCCAAAAATGATTACATAGCCTTAAAAGTAATCACATCAGGAGCCAAGTCAATCAAGAGTTTCGACTCCACACAAACAGGCAATACATATGAAGGACTTGTGAAGTAGATCCCTGCCAAGAATTATTAACTACTTCATGAAGCAGGATGGAATTGATCGACTCTATATAATTTCTCTTCACCAGAAAATGTCTTCAGACAAACATGGGGAAAAAGGAAATCACAGAAACTTGTGCACCGCCACATGCTAGCACGTCAAGATTCAATGTGGATTAAGTTCCCAAAGAGACTTACAGAAGAAAAAGTGACTCAAATCCAACTCCAGCCTCTGATCTTCTTAATCTGAAAGTGGTATTTAGACCAGCATTGCGCCTCGCTATTACAACACCTTTAACTGTTGAAACACGTCTTTTGTTCTCAGGCACTTCCTATAGAAAATAATCACAATAAGTCCTGGTAAAAAAAAAAATGTTTTTTCTTAAAAAAAAAGAATCCAGTAATAATAACATAATTAAGCTGGTGTTAAGAACACAAAAATGCAAAAACTTCAAGAAGACTATTTGACAACTAAGAAAACATAAGCGTACCACTTTAAGTTGCACAAAGTAACCAGGTCTGATATCAGGAATCTCTCTCTTAGACTTCACATCCTCAACGGCTTCTTTATCAAGAATCTAACAAAATCATAGTTGAAACTAAGCTACCCACAACAAATTTAAGCTGCAGGATTCTTACCCGAAGTTACATAAAGATGTTCAAGAAAAGAATCAAGCAATTTAAAACCTGCATTATGTGCCTTGCAGTTTTATCAAGCCTCTTCATTTTAATGCGTTGTGGTACATCAGAGTTATTTAGAGGAACATTAACACCGGCATTTTCCATTGTTGAGAAGCACGTCTGAGATGATCTATGATTTGCCATTTGAGCTACAGACAGTGTATACTCAGAGAAAGGCTTGGCTGCTTGAGAAGTGCCAATATTATGGAATGGCATCAAGAAGGCACTTTTGGTGGCAAACTCCATGTTCTGACACAAATACGCAGTTACAAGCATATAAGAAAGCGTTCAAGGTCATAAAACTTAATGAAGCATTTGTAACACAATCCTACAGTATCTCAAATATAGATGCCTTGGCAGCATGATGGAGGTTGTTCTTAGTTTACTAGTTAATCTCCTAAAGTACTCTTTCAGAATAATTTCACAAACATAATGCACTAAATAATAGTAGAACGACATGCCACATGCACAAATGCTACTACAGTCTTAGAGCAGAAACATCTAATCACATAAGTAGAAGTCATTGCCATATACACAACGAAATGATAGGTATAAATACATACATAGAGCAAAAACACATAAACAAAGCTCGGAAAGAAAATTGTGAACTGTCAAAAGTCAAAAGATTTGAAATCATCAAATCTTAACACTGCCAAACTCATTTCTTTGCAATCAATAAATGATTTACCATGGATCACAAGTCACAACATCAAAAGCTGTGGAATCATTGAAAAAAATTAAATTAAAGAAATGCTTTTTGTTACCCATTGTTTCTAGTTAGTTTAGAAGTTTTCTAAGAAACTTCAGGTGAAAGGTACATTATATCTTCATCCATTACCATCAGCCTATTTATTCAAATACATGAATTAGTAGCACAACTAACAGGTGAGTGGAACTTTAAACGACGTTAAGACTATCTTAAGCAGCGGAACAATTTTTGCACAAGAGAAATTTAGAGGGAGATCATATCAAATCAAGGAACTAAACCATAAGCCTTAGCTGTTACTGGTGGAGGTAAATACAAACCCTCACCCCTAATGCTCGTTATTATGCATGAAACAGGTGGAGGAAAATACAGTGTAACACTTTAAACCTACAGTTTCCTCCATCTAAAACGTCACATTGCAACATTACCTCAATCTGAATTCTACATGGTGGTTCCAGCAATATGATCGTAGAAGCGAAGCTTCCGAGGTAAATTAAGGTTCTAGTTTAGAAGACTAGATACTTAAATCTAGGCCAAGAAACAGTATGTATAAAAACCATTCCGGCAGTGGATAAATATGACTACCCCATAAAGAAAGCATTATGGTTCACTACGGCATTTGTTCCATTGACTTTTCTAGAAACCAATGTGACAATTAAGAGCATTGGCCAAGGATTCCTGAGATAATAATCACCATTCTTGATCAATGTTGCAGAGAGACAAAAAACAGTGGCATGCTATTAGTTCAGTAGTCCAGACTAGTGCAAGAACTACAATAAACTGGTTAAGTACAAAAATGCAACTGCAATTTAGAAGTAAAAAAGTACTACTGGCAGCCTTCGAATTTCGAATAAAATTTCAAATATTTAACTAAACTGCAAAGGCTATGGAGAAAAATGAAAATGAAATGAAACCAAACTCCATTAACATCCCAAAACTGCCAAAAGTCGAGGTAAAACTATGGAACGAATGTTGCGTATCTTATAACTCACCTGAAAGGTTTTGAAACTCAGACCAAGGGTTGCCTTCATAATTGGATCAGAATCCCTCAATGGTTTGAAACAACCCAGCTTCCAGTAATTAATTGTTTGACTCCCTGCCCTTTGGGCATTTCTACAAATAGATTGCATGTCCTCCAAACTAAACCTGCATAGCCCAAACACTACTTTATAACAAACACTTTTACATCCTAAAGCATAATCAAAAGGCACAAAAATAGATTGCTATGTTTCGTATTTCTTACCCGTATTTTTTTACCGTCACCCGTGTTATTGGCGGCTAGTTTCGGTAGCTCCGGCGGTGGCCGCTTGGTTTTCCCGGCGAGGAAGAAGAAAGGAGGAAGAAGACGAGAAGAAAAGGAGTGTATGAAGTGACAAATATTTCAACTTTCAATACTCGAGCTCGGCTCGAGCCTGAAAATTTCGGCTCAAGCTCCTCTTTGAGTTCGAGTCCGGCTAGAAATTAAGGAAAATGAGAGCCCCCAACTTATGTCCAAACGACTAAGGAGGCGTTTGTTTTATCACTTGGAAACGGATTTGAATGATGGCGGATTAGATTCAAATAATCATAACCTTGTTTGGTTTGAGAACTGGAATGATTTAATTATATTTTTTAAAAATAATCAAATATCAAAAATTAATTTTGTAAAAATACAATTTTTCTGTTGTTCCCACTTTCTCTTTCTCCTTCACGGTTCTTTCTCCTCCAATCTCACCAATCATTGCTACCCTATCAGTCCATCAACACCTCTCCTTCACCACCACTTATCTTTTTGAAAAGCTCCCATCGCAAACTACAATCGAAATCCGCATTCAATTCCATCGAAATTCAAGTAAAACAAGAAATCAACAAACTCTACAACAAAAGATGCAGGCTTTTTATGTTTTAAGTAATGATGAATTATCCAAAAATTACAAACTATGAAGAATCAATTTCTTGTATGAAATCCCACGGAGCTGATCTTGTCCACATCCAATCCAAGAAATTGCAGAGCTCTTCATCCACTACCCACACAAGAGTACTAATGCTACTGTGTTGAAAGGGAAGAACATAGAGACTCTCTTCAGCAACTATTCTATGACATAACAAGAACATGAGGCTCGTGGGATAGGAGGAAGAAGATAAACCCCCGAATCCATCTTCCAATCTATCAACCTTTTTCCTTCTTGAAAAAACTCAATTTACCCAGATCTTTCAAATACCAAATTAATTTCTTATGGATGAATAGAGCCTTTTTAGATAAATGATAACGATAAGAACAAAGAAGATGGGATTTGAAAAAGAGTGAAAAATAAGGAAAGAGGGGAAAAAAAGAAAGAGAGAGGATTCGAGAGCTTGAATCCATTGAATAAGGATGAAGAAGGAGATGCAGAAACCAAAGAAGAGAGAAAATGGATAAAAAGAAAAGGATCGGAGAAGGCCCTTTTTTGAAAAAAAAAGAAAAAAAGAGAGAGATAAAAGAATTCAAAGTTGAATGACAGGGCGTAAGGTGGGATTCAATCTATTGGATTCAGCCATTCCCGGGATTCAGGAATCCCATTAACCAAACATCTCATTCAAATCCGAATCCGAATCCTGAATCTGATTCCCCCTAAACAAACGGCTCCTAATACATTTTCTACGACGACAATAACCCCTGACTACCACAAAGGTTGAGGTAAATGTAAATGAATTCTTTTACCCAAAAAAATGTTCTCAAAAGATGCCAGAATTAGGCTCTTTAAAAGGGTGTAGCCAGCAATAGGTATATCGGATTTCTAAGAACCTGATTTAAGACAAAAATCGAATTTTGTGTATCCATTTAATTTAGATATAGTAAATCAATTTTCACTCGTAATTAAGCATAAATCGGATTTCAGAAATCTAACATTTCACACTAAAATATTAGAGCAATGATACAGATAGTAAAAAATTACAGTGAATTTAGATAGTTACAAATGAAAAGACAATTATACCACACACTTACTAAACATGTCTAGCTACTAATTAAAGGTAAAAATGTAATTTTAGAGAAAAATAAAACTTCAACGGGAAAGTGACAAAAAACTATGGGCCATGATTAGTCCACATGAGTCACTATGTTTGTCACTATTTTTATTCACTATATATATCATTTTCCAAAATATTATGCATGGGGAAAATTTTTGCGGAAAAAGAAAGTCACAAAAATTGGATTAGCGAAATCTGATTTGAAGACATCCGATTTATGCGGAAACTGAAAATCAGATTCCAGTGATAAAAAATAATGACTAGTTTCTAGCCGGCCCAAACCTATACCAACAACACCAAAAAAGATTTTACCAAAAAGATCACTACAAAAATGGCACAAAATGAAATTATATAATTATATAAAATAAGCATAAAAAAGTTTAAAACAAACGTAAAATAAAAACTCCAAACCCTAAACATGTCAAAGTTACAAGTGAAAATAGCAAAATCTCTGTGGACTAAACACCTTAGTCTTCTAACGCTTCCGGGATTCCTTGCGCTCAGGTTTCTTTTGCTAGAGGGTTCTCGACGAGGAGGTGGAGTCTCTTCTTCACTTTGGTTCTTAGATTTCGTGGAACTCTTCCTCGCTCTCTTCTTCATTCTGTCTTTGCTCTTTATTCTGTCTTTCCTTTTTGGCTATTGGGCGGGGGGGGGGAGGTCGCGATATTGAACCAGTCTTTGGTTTGTCACACTTGATTGGCCATGGTCGGCCTGTAAAAGATGAATGATGCATGATCTTCTTCCACCTCCAATATCTTGTTTGGGAGCTGTCTTTTGAGAGGGTGAGGGGGTGGGAGGGGGCGAGGCTGTTATGTTTGAGTTGGTTGTCTATCCATGAGCATCTAGCTACTAGACGCGTTGCTCAAAGCGTCTGGGCCACTAGTCAAGGAAGTGTGATTAATGCCACTTAGGGTTTTCAGCCTACAAAAATTGAACTGTACATTAGATTTTCATTTTCATATTATTAGTAAATAAATGCAGTAAAATATTTAATAAATAAAATTAATCGAAATGATTACATATAATATTTAGCACGCCAAAGATGGATAAAGCCCTGAGTCCCGTATATGTACTTCTCGGGATCACTAATGAATTTCACAGTCTTCTCGTGAAACCAAGAGAGGTAGTCAGTGTCAGTCTAAGGATCCAGGCAATGTGTTACTGCTTCACCTTCTACCAGGTAATCCATGTGTTTTTCCTAATGAGGCTAGACGTCCTCATGATGCCTTTTCCAATCCTTGTACGCTTTGCCGCCTGCTAAACCATAATGTCGCAGTTGGTCAATGGATATTCAAGCAAAGACTACCAACAATTAAATTGTCGTATTACCTGTTTAGGCTCATGAGGTTCTCTAATGAAACAGAAGAAAATCTAAATCCTCATTTTCTAAATGTGATTGCCCGGCTTACAGTAATTGGGAAGCTTATTGAGGAAAGGTGTATACGGAAGCCATAGAAACTACAGAAAATAGAAAATGATGGGGATAGTTTAACAACATAAGGGAACTTTTTTAAGAAAAAGAAAAAAATCATGTTTGACGATAAACAGAGAAACTTACATCCCTATGCGTTCGAAGGGTTAACTGATTCATGATCAAAGATAGGTAACCCTAAGAACATTTGCATATGAGAGCAGGCAGTTCTACCTATTGGGGGACAAAATTGTAGTTGTAATGACATAAACAAAGAGAAAAAAAAAAAAAAACTAGATATAAGAATTCATTAAGTGCAATGGGTACCTATGGGCTACTGGAGCTCCCAGATCTAGAATAAAAGGCTCGATATTCCTACTGGCTGAATCCTTAGGATACGCTCTCAAGTCCAACGGAATTAAAACTAAGAAACTCCAAGTTGTTAAAAGTGAACAGCCTACGCTCAATCACCATAAAAGCATCTGCCAAGTTGTTGAAAGTGTGCATTACCCCATTGTATATAACAAATTGACTTGTCCAAAACACATTGAGAATGTATGGACCGTTAAGCGCCATCTGTAGATTAAATAAATGACTAATTGTCAAACATTACGAGCAGTTATTATTAGGATAATCTAAATCCTAAACACAATAAAATGAATTACAGATAAACAACACACTAAACCTCAAACCCTAAACTCAATCAATAATGCATTGCAAGTAAACTACACATTAAACCCCTAAACCCAATCAACAATGCATTTACACAACACTTTTATCTAACTACAACAATACATGTTCTTAACCTCAAAACAAGTCATCAACCTTTAATATATTTCCACTCTAGGTCATCAATTAATTTATTTGTAACACAGGTTACCTTACTAAAGTTTTAATCCATTTCAGATTATTTTGTAAATTTTGGCCGTTAAATAGTGACGGAAATCCATTTTTCACATGTTTTTGGGTTCAGGGGTATTTTTGTCATTTTTTTTATTTTTTTATTTTTTATTTTTATTTTTTTTTACAATTCTTCTTCTTATACTTCCTAACTTGTATATACTGGTAGTATAATTCTAAATTTTAAAAACTTATTTTTCTTTTGTATTTTAACTTCTAAATTATAAACTTTTTTTAAAAAAATTTAAGAAATGAAGAAGAAAAATTCGAGTTAAAGTAAACATGAAAATTAATAATTTTCTATTTAAAAAAAATTAAAATAATTAGCTAAGATAAGTTGTTTCTTCTAGGTTATTTGATTTTTTCAACTCGATTGAATTATTTAATTATTAATTTTCATGTTTCTTATTCTTTTTTTTTTAATTATCTACAAGTTAATATACAAATGACAAATTAATTTTAAAAAATGAATTTGTATCTTAACTTCTATATTATAAAAAAAATAATAAGAAATGTGAAAATTAATAATTAAATAATTCAATCGAATTGAAAAAAATTAAGTAACCTAGAAGAAACAACTTGTCTTAGCTAATTCTTTTAGTTTTTATTTTTGTTTAAAATGGTAAATTATTAATTTTTATGTTTCCTTTAACTCTAATTTTTCTTCTTCATTTCTTAAATTTTTTTTAAAAAATTTTATAATCTAGAAGTTAAAATACAAAAGGAAAATAAATTTTTAAAATTAAGAATTATACTACCAGTATATACAAGTTAGGAAGTATAAGAAGAAGAATTGTAAAAAAAATTAAAAATTAAAAATTAAAAATTAAAAGATTAAAAAATAAAAAAATAAAAATGACAAAAATACCCCCGAACCCAAAAACATGTGAAAAATGGAACGGCCAAAATTAACAGAATCATCTGAAATGGAACAAAACTTTAGTAAGGTAACCTGTGTTACAAATAAATTTAATTGATGACCTAGAGTAGAAATATATTAAAGGTTGATGACTTGTTTTGAGGTTCACTCAGAAAAAAAAAAAAATACTAAAATCACAAAATAGACAAAATTTCACTTCCATCACATTTAACATCATATGTATGTCAATACTTTCTCAAATCAACCGAAGAATATTACATACAAAACGTCACATTTCTTATGCAAACAACCAAAGAATCCAAAATTTAACCACTAAACAATGGTTGTACACATTACCACCACAAAAAAATACATTCATTCTATTCACAAAAAAAAAAAAATAAATTAGAATCATCACTGACCTCCTTTTGATAATAATTCAAGAGTTTAGTTATGAAAATCCATTGAAAAGAACCCAAAATCCCCACCCAAAGAACCAAGATCCACCAAGAGAAATAAAAAAATTTTGTCCTGTGAATTGTGAATCATGTTCTGGTGTATTTATGGGATGCTAAAATCGGATTTCACAAATATAATTAGTAAGTAAAACGGATAAATCTGAGTTTGTCATAAACGGGGTTTCAGAAACCCGAGAATAAAAGAAATCAGATTTTTCTAATTTTGCCTATTTAAATGTTTTCTCCTACCACTTCTACCAAATTAATTGTTAATCGGATTCGCAAAATCCAATTTTATATTCAAAATTTTCCCACCTAAAAGTAAGTTGGATTTTAAAATTTGATATACTATTTTTTTTAACAACATTAAAAGATTGTTTTCTTTCCTTCATTTTTTCCGTCAATGTTTTAAAAAGAAAACAGGGAAATAATATTTTATTCTTTCAAAGAAATTGGATTTCAAAAATTCAATCTACTAATTTAATTAGTAAATCGGATTCTTATAATCCGATATGCCTAGAAAATCTCCCAAAAAAAAAAAAATTTTACAAACGGCCAGTCTGAATTGATCTTTATATTCTAGGGGCTACTGCCCAAATGTAAATTGTCTATATACGTGGAATGTCAAATATACAATTGCTATTAAACCCCCAGACTTTATTTTGATTTTCACTTTTTACAATTGTAATTTCTTCTTTCCTCTATTTTCCTAGAATTACCGTTGCCGCATCTGCGAAAATTGATTCTTTCCCAAAATTAGACCACATTTCCAAGCAATACATTTTCACAAAGTTGAGAATGTGCGCA